GGCTTGTGATGTGTAGTTTACAGAGGTGCTCCCGACGAGTAAGTAAATTTCAAAAACACATCGTCATGGGCCATTGATAAATATGGTTGTATAAATAGAAATACAACCGATGATAAACCAATGGCTACTATTCTCTCGTCAACATTGTACATGCAATACCGACTTTAAGATTCCCAGAACCTCACAATACTGATGTTGGATTGCTAACGGACTGTATACTTAAGAATCATCAAGCACCCCCCCTTATAACTATATTCAGTTTGAAAAAACGACTTATATCCAGATCGCAGATCTTTCAATTTTGATTCTTACCGTAACCTCCTAATTGCTTACCCTACTCGGTATATGGCCTGCCATGGTTAGCCACTTAAGCATTCTATAGTATCAGCCTGACCAGCCTCTAATGTTCGTCGTCGGATATCTCATCCAACTCAAACTCTCCAGCAATGGTCGCGTAACTTTCATTGATAAGGACACTCCCATCACTGGATCTCTGTAACCGGAGATACCACTCAAGCAACGCCAAGAACCAGAAATTGACCATACCGGCAGCACAGGTAATCGTTAAGATATACGACGAGTGATCAGCCCCAATCTGGTGCACCAACACCAACTGCTCTTCGGTAGCACCCATAAACAACAATCCTGACTCAATCATACAGAACGCTGGGAGGTACTGGAACGAAAGGATTTCACCACTAGCATCGCTCCGTTCGTCCTTGAGCACAAACGAAATCTCGATGATTCGCGTGAGACCTGCGCACATTAACACCATCCCAAACATAGCGTGGACTTTGGTGCTGATAACGCTGTTCTGAGAGTGCTGGATCATTGAGTAGCCGGTAAAGATGAGGGTCAACGCCGGCATGAATGAGCGCTTGCCCTTGCGGGTGAGAAAGATCCCCAGAGCCCCCAACCCGATCCAGAGCAAGCCCATGGACGTATGCTGAAAATCACCGTGGTTCCATTCATGGCCCCAGCGGTGCTCCGTCAAGGAGTTCACTATCCCCCAAACGAAAATGGCCCACGAGTCGTAGAACTCTTGAGCGTACCGGCGGGGGGTCGCCGGGCTGCGCAAACTTGGGACCACCAAAATGAGAAGCATGACAAGCCCATAGGCAATGAAACTGCTACCCATGATTCCGTGGGCAATACACTGACCTGTATGGTCGTCGTAGCAAAATCCAAGAAGCGCCACTGGCGCAAGACAAATCCTGATCCAGCCGGCCAATGAGACAATCACCACGAGCGTTTTGAAGAGGATTGCAAGGAACCTGTGGGAGGTGGATTCAGAAAACTTTATGCCGCTTTTGAACCGTTGGAAGATATTGGTGCCAGTCAATAAACTCCCGATGGCAGAGATCCCGCAATACACGAAGAACAAGAACCAAGCAGTGCCGCGGGACGTTTTATTTTCGTGGCCCAGCGGGTCTGGGAATCGCAAGATGATTGCCTCGACCGCAGCGTAGGCGGTGACAAAGTAACAGATGATTGTGGCCACCGTGAATCGGTTGGCAAAGGCATACACCACGGAGACCGCCGGAAGGAGAACTAGCATTGCGAGGGATGCAAGAAAGTGAAAGGTCTTGGACTTTGTATTTTCGTGAGAGACGACTACAGGCTCCGCATCATCATCTGACACCCCCATATTCATGGCATGGACCCCAGAGAGGAGAGTGAAGCCGAGAAAAATCGTGTTCTTCAAGGTTATGAACATGTTTCAATCAGTGGAGGGAGTATACGGCGAGGGATTAGGGGAAAAAAACAATATAGGGGCAATGGTCTAGAGTCAGAACAAGGTTACCAGATGGTCTTGTCTGTATGTATTCTTGAAAACAACCAACTGACAATAGATACGTAACATAGGGATAAAATGTCGAAGCGTGTTCGGTCAAATTCCTTGGCGGGGTTTATGGATTTTCGGCGGAGCGTTCGGGGGCTGCGTTTCGGATGTGGAGACTGCACCTGCTCTACGCACGAAAGACCTGGGCTAGAGAGGTGACTAAAAAATATACCAAGGAGAAGAGAATTCTATCATCGTATTAAGCAAAAAGGATTGAGCTGCAACACGGTTATCATATTCTCTGAATGATGTAGCTCAGTAAACACTTTCTACCGGAGAGAGGACTCAGTAACCATACGTAGACGCGCATTCTCGTTGAAATTACACGACATAAAAGTGGTGGGCGAATACGGATTAGCACCCAAAGAGTAATTTACCAATGCTGGAACGACACGGTAAAAGTCATAGAAAGCAGTATAGATCATGACCTCCCTTAAGAGCCCCAGTACAACGAACGACCCATATAGACTACAGCCAAGTGTAATCATCATTAAGTTTATTAACAAGAATCACCAACGTGACAGCTGAATAAGACATAAGTTACTTCCATCCACCGACAATCTTGTTTGCAAGGTCCTTTGCAGCAGCATTGGCAACATTCAATAATGAATTAGGGGCACCAGACTCGTCTCCTTCTCCATGTTTGATCGAGTTTCTCTCTGCGATTGAGGTGAGCGAGGCATATGACGAGTCCCCGTCGCTAGTGAACGAGCCATTGAATTTGTCCGTGGATGGTGAAACAGTGGTTGTGCTCGGCGAAGTGCGGAAGATTGAGGATGGCGGACGAATCGCGCCTGGGGCACCATCGTCCGAGTCAGAGGAGTCATCATCATCGTTCAAGAGAAAACTCTTGATGTTTCCGTTGGAAGAGGAGGAGGCATGCAAAGGCACATTAGAGAAACCAAACCCGGTCTGCGAGCCCGACTTGGAGAGGGTGGACGAAGATGTTTGGCGGAGGAATGAGCCGGCAATGTTGGGATTGCTAGTACGGGAGAAAGAACCAGCAATGTTGGGGTTACTGGTTCTTGCAAAGGTGCCAGCAATGTTAGAGTTGCTCGTGCGAGAAAACGAACCGGAGAAATCCGGAACATCAACCATCTCTGAGCCAAGCCCCAAAGCCGGAACATCCACCACTTCAAAGTCAGTGGCAATGAGGTTACTCGTGTCATACCCACCATTGCTGGACGTCCCGCTAAGGTCATACGACCCTTCGTAGTCAGGCATCTCAAATGGCACATCAACCACAGCCTCCACGGGAATGGTCCCAAGATCTAATGTGTCCAACTCCAAGCTCTCGGGCACATCCACGATGGTGATACCAGGCGTTGCACTTTCGTCGCACACAAAAACAGAGTTGTAGTCGTAGTTATAACTGTACTGTGGCCCACTTCTATTGGTCGTCTGGTTGTGGCTGACCGAAAACTGACCATCCGCCTCGTCTTCATCGTCAGAACCGTACTTCAACGTGGTCGCAGGCAACGGCTCAATCGTTCTGATAGTCAGTGGCTTCTGAGACTCAGACTGGGACACGGCGTCATTGGAAAGCGAGGTAGCATTGGATGGGATGTTAGTCAAGCCCATCACACCCTGTTGTAACGACAAGCTGGACGAGGATCTCACACTGAGGAAAAACCCGTCGTCATCGCTATCATCGTTGCCATCATCGGTAAAATCTCCATTGTAGTTCACCGGTACACTTTCCTCCACATCAGTAAGCTTACCCTCATCCTCCATATCGCTGTCTTCGTCCTCGCTGTCGTTGAAGTTAAATGCACCGGCCCTGGCACGTTCATGCATGGTCATACCAGCAAGCTCGTCTTCTGTTTCGGAGCCGGTATATTCGAGCGAGACGCACTGCTCCACTCTATCGTTAAAATGGATGTGGCGGTCCTTCTTTGAAACCTTAGCCTTTGTGAGCGCAGCAATCGTCGGTGACACAATGGAATCGTGCGACACTAGCGGCGATGCCGTCCCTGCGTGCGGGTACAACGCCGGCGAGTTCATCAGCGAAGAGGTATTGGAGGCGGTGGTGGAGATAGGCACGAGCACGGGATTGATGTTCTGGTAGTTGTGGTTGAAGGTGTTGTTCACGTCGTCGAGATACAACCCCTGCTCTTCCTTCTTGGTACTGCTGGTGCCTCCGAGAGAGTTATGGGTGGCATTTGGGTTGACAGAGGGGGTATTGTTGCTGGCAGGGTAGCTCGATGTGGATAAGATTTCTTGCATCGTGCGTTTCTTCAAGATGGGCTTGGTCTTTGGTTCGTCAAACAGATGGACAAACGTATCTAAGGCCGTAGACGAGTTGTTTTTCTGCAACGTGGAGGCTCCAGAGAGCGCGCTGAGGTTGTTACCGCTGCTCTTGAAAAACTCAGAGTCAGTGGCACCCTGACAAATCGGACCATAGAGCCAGGTGACATCGCTATCCTTCAGCCAGTTGACCGTAGCGGGGTTAATGGTTTTGAGGTTGTATTTGGCCTGAGCCCAGGTACGCCAGCTGGCGTTCTCAAGTCTGGCACTATTGGCCACTGCCTTTCTCCGAAGCACAATATATCGCCAAGACTTCGAGATGTCACTCTCTCTCCAGTTGTGACTGAGATAGTCCACGTGAGAGTTTGGCTGATCCACGAGGGCACCGTCATCATGAAGCTGTGCAAAGGGATCGGCATTGGGGTTATCTGGTTCCATAGGGGAGGGGGCAACCTTGGGGCTGGTGGCAACTATGATGTCAGCGTTGGTTGGCACAATATGGGAGGCGGCCTTAGGGGCTGGCGTATTTCGGGAGGCGGAGTACATCAGGATAGGGGCGTTTGGGAGATTCTCGAAACTAGGAACGTAGCCGTTGGAAACGATATCCGGTATGTCCACCATCACGTCGTCGTGAAATAGACCACTGACACACTGGGGAACGTCCACCGACTCGTGCTGTTCGTGCAACAAGGTCCCGAGGTTGGTATAGCTCAGCTTGGCTTCCTTCACATCCACCAAGCTCCCAAAGCGCTCTTGAGTGGCCATGTCGGCTAGGGTTGTAGACGACGGCCGGTGGTCAGCCTCCTGCAAATGTGGGTAATCGTCTTGCACAAACAGCTCCTTGATCTTTCCGGGTATAAATTCATCCAAGAGCCCCAACGACCGCGTCCGCTTCAACTTGAAGGAAGTGGACTCAAACTGGGAGTCGGTGGTGGCTTCAACAGCCTGTGAGGTAGTGGCCCCGCCCGTGAAGAACATGTCCGATAGGTTTCGGGATGACGGCATGGTGGGGGGCGTATCTAAGAGAGTGGGTTATCTAGGGGCTGGTGTGTGCTTTGACGGACTCAGAGATGCTAAAGTTCGAAGAATAGCAGAATTGGAGGCGTTA